TTTGCCCTTCTTTTTGCTATACTGAACCTGTGGTATTTTGAAAGAGCTCTGGATTAAGATGTTAGAAAACTAACTTTTTTTTTTTTTTAAGTACCAAGGATCTTTATTCTTAGGTCTGATATTCAATCTGTGGCTGCAGATAATTCGTCACTATGTAGAGAATAAAAGGTCCCATTATCTTCATTCAAGTCTTCAGCCACAAAGTTACACCTTATTCTCACACAAGATAAGGGTTGGTAGGGGATTAAGGAGGTACAGAGGAGAAAAGCAAAAGGGAACAAACACTTTTACAAGCATATCGTCCAAGTTACTGTGAAGGTTACGTTTCAGGTTATTTTACAAAAGCAGTGACAGAACCATGATTTCAGTGAAAATCAACACGTTATACCTTTTAAAAAACCAATTCAGAAATACTAAGTCAGGCAAGCATGCAAAATTCAGAGTATAAAAAAATGCAAGGGTTGGCGGCCCAAACAGGTATTTCCCTCAGAAAGAGGGATTTGAAAATGCTGCACAGAACCAAAGGAATTAGAAGCTGAATTAGCAGACCCATTTCCTCAGTTTATATATGAGGCAAGTGGGCAGACATTAACTGGTAAAGCTTACTCAGCCAGATTAAGAATATATAGACATCTAATTCCTGGCGCTATCTGCAACTACATGTATCTAAAATACAAGGAGATAAATATTCAGAACACATCAAACCCACTGATTTAAAGAAAACATTCAAGGGTGGGGGTGAAGTTGTTATTATAGCATAGCAGCACATTACACATATTTAAGAGATTAAATGGAAAGAAATAATCTCTTATTTTAATGCTCAGTTTTGATCAACACAAGTTTCCAGCCAACTTTCTGATGTAGAGCAAAACAAGTATATTCTTCAGTTTTCTTCTACACTTTTTTGGGCCTATCTTTCAAAACTGAGCACTGGGTATTTTTAATGTAAGTAATGGGATGTTATATGTACATTCTAATTACACATTTTAGGAATAAACAAAATGCATATTTCAGTAATTCATAGTGTATTTATAAAATGAAAAGCTCTCTATCAAAATACACTTTTCACTGGGAAAAATAAATAAAACAGACAAATGGATCTAAACAAAGTAAAAATTAACTTTGGTAGACTTCACTGTGGAGGACAGTCCATAACAAGCTCATCTGCCCTTACTCCCCCAGAGCTGATCATCTTCCGAGTTAAGATTTTAAAAATATGTTTTAATTGATATCATTATGTTGATATCTGTTTCTCATTCCACATCATCTTCAGCCAAGCTCTGAGCACTTACAATTCTCTGACTAATTGTTGGGAGCTTAGTCAGAAGCATCTGGAACACTGGTGGTGGAAGAGTTTGTTGCAACACTTGCAGTAACTGCTGTGGCTGTCCACACACAGCAATTGCATTTGTCAGATGGTCCACACCCTTCTCATATTCACCTTGAGCTAGTAATTCTTCACCAAGCTGTATTTCTTCTAGAAAGAATTTCTGAACGGCTTCAGCATCTTTAAGGTCAGGTAACTTGGAAAGCCCAGCTCTCTCCTTGGCAAGCTTTTGTTTCTTTCTTCGTTCTCGCAGCCTGTTCTTGAAGTTGGGGTCACTCCGTCTCTTGCGGTCGAAATAAATGCAGTAACCGATGAAAAGGGCCCCGCACACGCCGGCGGCTATGGCGCTGTTCCGGCCCACCATCGTCTCTCCACCGAAGAGCCGGGTCGGCTGCGGCGGGGCCCGCAAATAAGCCGTTGACAGCGAAGCCTCGGATCCGAGTGCAGAAAACTAACTTAAATCCTGGATCTATTATCTAACAGCTGTGTTATCTTGGCCAAATGGCTTTATGTTTAAATCTTCGTTTTTTTCCATCTGTAAAATGGAAATGAGAACAATGGCTACTATTCACTGAGCGCCAGGGCTTGGTACATTGAAAAACCTGGAGCACTTGGGTGTAAACTATACAGGACTGAACCATTGTGAGGCATAATGTCATTATTCTCATCCTTGCCCCAAATGCTTTTCTTCTCTTTGGTTATTTCCATTATAGCTGATGTTATCTTTTCATCTGCTGTCAGGTGACACAAGGCCCTTGACTTTCTCTGAAGGCTCTTCTGGGCTCTTCTGTCATCTCACAAGTAGCTGGACTTGTGCCAGGAGAATGTGAAGTACCGAGAATCAGTTTAACATTGACACCTTCAGTTACAATCACATCACTCTTGTATCATTTGAATATATCTTCTTGAGAAAGGAGAGCATATATTATGGAAAGTGCACAGATCATGAGCACTCAGTGCGTTATCACAGTATAACCTTTGTATCTACCACCCAAGAAAGAAAGGAAGGGAACAGTATCAGCCCCTAGAAACCCTTGCCGTGCCCATTTTGTGCCCCCTCCCAACCACTGCCACCTCCTTCCTCCCCATTACATCTGTGTTGCCAAAGCCTAACACAAATCCTTGTCAAGAAGCCCATAAACAGTTGCTAAACTGAACCGAGCCCCTTTGAAATAATTTTGTGATCTCAAGGTAATCATTTCAACTTCCTTGGCCTTGATTTACTCTTCTGAAAAACAGGGATGGCATTTCAGTAATTTCAATAGTTTTCAATCCTAGCTGTACACTAGAATCACCTGGGGAATCTTTTGAAAAACTGTCCACCATGCTTGGGCTCTGGATACGAACCTCTGAAGGTCCCAGGCAGTGGTAGTTTTTCATGACTTTCCAAGGATTCCAGTGTACAGCCATGATCACTTGAATCTTACCAGTTCCAATCAACACACAATCACATATACATTCAAATCTCAGTTCCACTCCTGCTGTGGGTTGAATTGTGTCCTCTGCAAAGATGTGGTTTCTGACCCCCAGAACCTGTGAATGTGGACTTATTTGAAAACAGGGTTATTGAAGATGATCAAACTAAGATGAAGTCATTAGTGTGTGTGTGTGTTAGTCACTCAGCTGTGTTTGACTCTTTGCAACCCCATGGACTGTAGCCCGCCAGGCTCCTCTGTCCATGGTTCTCCAGGCAAGAATATTGGAGTGGGTAGCCATGCCCTTCTCCAGGGGGTCTTCCCGACCCAGGGATTGACCTGGGGTCTTCTGCATTGCAGGCAGATTCTTTACCATCTGAGCCAGCAGGGAAGCCCAATAGGTCTTTAGAGTGGGCCCCTAATCCAGTGTGACTGGAAACCTTATAAAAAGAGGAAATCCTGGACCCAGAGACAGAGGCCCAAGGAGATCACCAAGCGAAGATTGGCATTATCATGGAGCACCAGAAGCTAGGAGAGATACCTGGAAGAGACTCTTCCTCAGAACCCTCAGAAGTCCTTCTACTGACCCCTTGACTTCAGGCCTCTAACCTCCAGGATATGAGACAATAAATTTCTATTCTTTAAGCCACTCAGTTTGTGGAACTTTGTTACAGTGGTCCTAGAAAATCAACATAACTATTTTCATACTAGTCAAGGAACTCTCTTGGCCTGTTTCTTCATCTGCAAAGCTGGAAGTATAATCATGGTTCCACGTCCTGGGCTCCATTCTAGACACTTTACACAGATTATCTCATGTAGTCATCACATATACTTTACTACTGGCTTCCCTGGTAGCTCAGTCGGTAAAGACTCTGCTGTAGTGTGGGAGACCAGGGCTCGAACCCTGGGTTGGGAAGATCCCCTGGAGAAGGAAATGGCAACCCACTCCAGCATCCTTGCCTGGAAAATCCCATGGACAGAGGAGACTGGTGGGCTGCAGTCCATGGGGTTGTAAAGAGTCGGGCTCGACTGAGCCACTAACACAACATACTTTACTGCAGCAGCATTAGCAGGTATAGGTACTCTTGTTATCTCCAATTTTTCAGATGAGATAGCTGTGGAACAGAGAGGTTAAGTAATCTGCTCAAGGTCACATGGTAACTAAATGTCTAAGACAGTAATACATCATTCACGTTTACTGGGAAGTCTCCATGAGACTGTGAACGTGCATGTGAACGCGCTTTGTAATTAGCAGAGCATTTTACCCTTTTTAGTTAGAATCTCTGTAGATGCTGGACTTTTTTGGCCATCTTTAACTCTTCCCTTCTCTTTCGACGCGATACTTCCTTTCCTCGGCGACAGGGGTCGCTGCATCGCGCGGGCACTGACAGGTCCTTCTAGCCCGCAGCGCCGGCTGCTCGCTGGTGCCTATAAGTGGCAGTACTGAGCTCAGTAGACAGCAGTCAGCCGCCGCCGGTGCCAGGGTCGGGGCTGCAACTGGAAGTGGAGCTGGACGCGGAGGAACTGAAGCTGGGCCGGGGCGCAGCGCAGCACCGCGCCGGGGCCGCAAGGAGGGGGGTTTCGCTGCTGGCCCACCGCGAGCCGCCCCTAGCCCGCGCCAAGGCGCCCTTTCTCCAGGCCGCCTGCCTCCGCCTTCCGCCTCCCTCCATTTCCCCGGAATCTCAGCCCGGCACGCCTGCACCTCGGTCCTTCTTTGGGTGGGGAAGCTCCCGGCCGCTATCCGGCTTCACTCCTTCCTCGCAGCCTGGGCTCTCAGCTCCCTTTCTTCTTTTCCTGGACTGGGTCCCACCCCCTTCGATCCCCTTCTTTTAGCTCAGGCTCTCTGCTCCTTCCCTTAACAAGAGTCCCAGCAGCTCAGCCACTTTTCTTAGCAGAGGGTCCCCGCCTTCCCTTTTCCTTGCCTGAGGTCCACCCCCATCCTATTTCTTCCTCTGTCCCTAGGGTGCCGCCTCTCCCCTCCCCCACCCCCTTTCCCAGGCCTGGAGTTCCAAACCTTTTGGTCTTCTCTTGTGGCCCTAACTGGGTCCTGGTCCCTCTTCCCCAGTTTGGCGTTCTAGATCGGGAACCCAGCCTTCTTTCCACCTCCAGAGGGCTGCTTCCACAAAAACACATCTCTCAAACATGAACTTTGCCTAGAGACTCCCGCAGTCTCTCTTGCCCCCTCCTGCTGACCGCTTGCTACCTATGTCCCAGGTCTTACTCTCATTTTGCTAAGGGTCGGGGGGATAAGCAGCGGGATGCTTCTGTGGTCTGGCGCCAGTGGCCTCCCTCCGCCTCGAATCTTACCTTCGTTGCTCGTGGTGGTAGCCTTGGTGGGGCTGCTACCCGTTCTCAGAAGCCATGGCCTCCAGCCCAGCCCTACCGCCAGCACCATCAGAGGCTCAGAGCCGCCCCGGGAACGCTCGATTGGGGATGTCACCACCGCCCCACCTGAGCTCGCCCCCGAGAGCCGCCCTGTTAACCATTCCTTCGCTGAACACAGCCCGAAGGCTCGAAAGGCCTTTCCAGTCCTGGGCATCGACTACCAACACGTGCGCACACCCTTCGAAATCGCCCTGTGGATCTTACTGGCCTGCCTCATGAAGATAGGTAAGTCCACCTCGCCCCCGATGCTTCCGCTGTCACCTAGCTGATGAGCCTGTTGCCCATCCTTACCACTTGAAGCTGCCCAGGAATGAGGGTCTGGACTGCTCCTGTATAGTAGGCAGCCTCCATCTGGCCATCTTGATGCTTCTCAAACTTGAGCTCTGCGGCCTCGTCGCGCGGGAGCTGGGTACTGTTCACTGGAGAGAGCAGGACTGGAGGATGCTTCTGGCCCTAGGTACCTTCAGCGAGGCTCCCAGGCCTGGCAGGGTTCCTCTGGAGCCAGGCGCCCAGCTGTGTGTGTGTGAGACAGGCGTGTCTTCAGCAAGTGACACAGTCTGCTCTGTCACCAGCCACCAGTGTAATTACATGCTTCATGGAAGGCTATTCCAGGACGGAGGATCTTTCTACTTGGTTTGCCTAAGGAGTTTGGGTAGCGTGGGGAATGCGTGTGCTGGAGACTTACAGGTGTGGTGGAAGATGAGGCATCACTGTATTCTCACCTTCCTTCCTTCATCCCTGGAGTGTTATCAGTCAGTTCTGCCTGCCCAGGCTGGTCAGGAGCCCCTGAGTCAGTTTCCTGCCCGGGAATGCCATTCTTTATACAGTTTATGGGACAGGGGGCCTTGGGAATTCCTGAAGTCTGGTTTGAGGCGGGGGAGGGAGAGTGGAGGAGGGTCAAGCTCACCTCCAGGTTGCACCCCTGCTGTGTCTCAAAGTGCTGTCCAGGCTGGCCAGTCATGGTGGCCTGCCTGCTGCTCAGCCCGTGGGAGATGGACAGGTGGAGAAACTCAGGATGTTCTGATATGAAGTGACTTTGAATGTTATTTTTGGAAGAAGGAAACAGAAAAGTGGTTCCCCTCCAGAGGCTTGTCTCCCTGCTAGGTCTGGGCACTTTGTTCTGCTGGGTGATAGATGCTGGAGATGCTCCAGATGACAGATGCTCCAGATGCTGCTGGAGCTCCCCAGAGCCTGCCCAACCCAGAAGTCCCTGGAAGTGGTGTCCTGGGGGTTTTGACATCCGCCTTTGCCTTCTTAGCCCCCAGCCAGCTGTGGAAGGCACAAGGGCCTGGGACTCTGCTGGTTTGGGTTTGGAGAGTTTGTGATTCTTGGCAGGAAGCCTTGCAGCTCTCCCAAGGACACGCGGGAGCTGAGGGCGATGCCAGGCTGGTATGAGGCAGGCTCCGGGACATGCTGCAGGAGGGCTTGGGTGCTTCTGTCGTGACGGATCTAGGAGCTGGCTTCCTGATTCAGGGTTTTGGTGTGACAGCGGCAGGCCTGTATATGGGGCTAGGCCATCACCACCTATCCCCTGATGGCAGCCCGGAAAAAAATCAAGGCCAGGGCAAGGGGAGTCATGTGTACTGATTCTGACAAATACATGACCTTGAACAAACTGGGCTTTTTTCTGCAGGTCTCGCCCACCTGTGAAACTGGCAAGAATCTCTAAATTTGACCATATCCATTGAATCCTGAAGCCCCTGTGTTCTAATTTGTTGTAAGAAGCTGAAGTGACTGATGTGTCATTTGCCTGTGTGAGACTAGGAAGAGGCCTCACAGGCACTATTTATAAATTGCCCTCCTCCTTGCTCCAACCCCGTCACCTCTCAGCTGCACCTGGCATTGTGTTAGGGTGTGGGGGGGCACGGGGGGGACTAGTGCACGCGCGGTGCGTCTCGGTGACTTCTGGTGGGTCAACAGTGCGACCACTAAGGTCCTGCTCTGGACAGTCAGGAGTTTGTCCCTGCAGGCCTGACTCCGGTCCCAATGGGACCAGGTTTGGCCTGATTTGCCCCCACCAAAACTGTGCCGGGACCCCGGGCAGTTGGCAGAGGTGGTGCCATGACACAGGTGTCAGCCTAGAAGTTAGGAAACTTGGCTTTTTGTCCCGTGTCCCTTGTGACCTTGGGCCAGTGACGCCTCTCCACTCACTTGTCAGTTGATCTTTGTGGCTTCTTCCAGGTCTGACGTTTTTGCCATTCCACTGACTTGGCTAACCCTGGCAAGTCATTCAACCTTGGGCCATAGTTTTCTCATTGTAAAAGTGAGGGTGCCAGATATGATCTCTGAGGGTCTTTGCAGTTGCGAAAGACTGTGTCTCTGCTTTGACAGGACGCTTTTCTGCCTCTGGAAACGGGTGCCCTTGCATCTGGCCATCCTGGGGAAGAGAGTAGAGAGAAAGGTGATCTTAAGGGTCCCAGTTCAGGTGGCAGAAAGTGAAAGCCCATTTTCCCCTTTTTGTTTGGCTGTTTGTTTTTTGGCCACACAACTTGAGAGATCTCAGTTCGCCAACCAGGGACTGAACTGAGGCTGTGGCAGTCAAAGCCCGGAATCCTAACCACTCGGCCGCCAGGGCACTCCCCCGGCCCCTTTGCAGTGTTGAACTGAGGTTGGCACCACTCTGCCCCTTACCCTCTCTGACTCTGTTTTCTCAAGTATAAAAAGGGGGAAATACTAGTATCCAGTTATAGAGCTCCTGACGTGGTAATGACAGAAATTAACGCACGTAAAGCTGCCTTTGTGCTTACAGGAAGCGCTCAGTGAGGTTCAGTCACCCCTGTTGGTAGTTTAACCACCCCAGGTAAATGCCTTCCTCAGAGGCTGGAGGATAACAGAGCTCTCGGCCTAGGCTGCCACCAGGAGCCCTTCCTTCAGGTTTCAGGAAGGACTGAAACTCAGTCCCACCGACTTTATTCTTCCTTTCGCTTTAGCAGGTCCTGTGGGGAAGGGACATGGTACCAGCTGACTCTGGGAGGTGGGGTGGGCTTGAGGGACTGAGGCCATGCTCCCTTTCTACTACACTCTGGAGCTTCGGAGTTCATCTTGGGGTCTTGCCTCTTCTCTCAGAGCCCCAGTGTAGGTAGGCGCCCTGTTGGAGGCCTCATTCTGTCATCTGTGACAGCTGCTTCCCTTGCCAGTTACCCCACCTTTAAGAACAGGAGGTTCTGTGTGCAGTTCTCACTCTTGTTCTGGTTGTGGAACAAAGCCTCAGGTAGACACCAGCCGAGGGCGGATGGCGTTAGAGCCAAAGATTTAAAAAAAATCCTTCACCAGGGAGATCAGCACCCATGGCTGATTCATGTCAATGTATGGCAAAAACCACTACAATACTGTAAAGTAATTAGCCTCCAATTAAAATAAATAAATAAGTTTAAAAATAATAATAAAGTGATGCTATGAAAAAAAAATTCTTTTGGCCTCACAGGTGCAGCATGTGGAATCTTAGTTCCCGACCAGGAATTGAACTGGTGCCTCCTTCAGTGGAAGCACAGAGTCTTAGTCCCTGGACCTCCTGGGGAAGGCCCTAGAGCTGAAGTTCTGGAGTAGATGCTCTGGGTTCTTTCTGAGTGATTCAGTGGGTGATGTGGGGCAAGCCTCTTCCCTTCTTGGGCCTTTTCTCTGTCTCTGACAGTCAGGGATTCTTGCCTTTTCTTTGTGGGGAGGGCCTAGTGATGTGAGCGGGGGGTGAGTCCATTGGGAGAACTGCGAGAATGACTCCAAGCCCTGGGTAGGACCACTCCGCATCCCACCCCACTCCACACTGGGGTTTGGACCCTGCATGAATCCCGCTTGGTCTCTCTGTTTACCTGGCTCCCAGTCCTGCGTGTGTTTCAAGGGAGCGCCTCGCTGTAACCCAGCTCTCCGCTGGCACCCCATACAGTTATTTACCCATGTCCAGCTCCTGGCAGCCCGTGAAACAGGTATTCAACTCGTCTCCTGACCACAGACAAAAAAAAAAAAAAATCATCCTTTGTCCCTTCACATCTTATAGCTTTTCTTGGTTTTGGTTTTTGCACAGTGCATCCTGCCATGTCATCCTCAGAACAGGTCTGTGAGGAGGGGAGATGGGGGTCATTATTGCCCAGTTCACACATGTGGATATCAGACTCAACAGCTAGTTTCCTTTGTAAGACTAGAACTCACTTCTCTCACTTCTCAGAAGGAGAGAGGAACAACCTAAAGGTCACCTTGAAACTGTCCCTAGAAGCGCAGGTGGAACTCTCCAAAAAGGAAAAGGTGACCTTTTTCTCTTTGGGAAGAAACAGCAGAATACCCGCGGGACAGTGTGGGAAGGTCAGTTGGGGCCTGGGAGGAAGGTTCAGGTAGGAGACCTGGGTCCCCAGGCGCCAGGGCACTTGGAGGGCCGCAGCTGGTCGTGTGGCCTGGACTTCACTCAGCTGAGCCCCCATGAGGTGCCCCTCTCCTCTCCGTCCTGCCCCTCACGGCCGCTGCCCCTCGCGGCCGCTGCCCCTCCAGTTCTGGTGGGAAGGACAAGGTCTCAAAGTCGGGGCTCTGCCCCTGGTACCTGCGTGACCAGGTACCTGGTGTCTCTGAACCTGACTTGCCTCATCAGGAGGATGAGGATGCCATCTCTGTTTTCCAGGATCGATGCAGAGGCTGAACGTGGGGTGCCCAGCATGGAGCCCAGCGCTGTGGTGGCTTTTCAGGGCCTGTTCAGGTTCCTCCCCTTTGGGCGGTCTTCCCAGGCCACTCCAGCCCACAGCCGTTGCTTTCATTTCTCCCCCAAAGCCCTATCCCTTATTGTTTATCCACAACTTTGGCGTCCGTCCTAGCCTGCCCTGTGACATCTCTTCTGTTGGGGGGCTGTGTGTTTTAAAAAGAATTACCATTTATTGAATATCTGCAGAGTGATGTCAGGCACTTTCCAGAAGTAATCTCCTTTAATTCTTACTAAAATCGGATGAGATAAAGGCTATCTCTGTTTCACAGATGAGGAAACAGCTCAGAGGGGTTATCCGCTGTGATGTGGAGCTGCCGTTCTGTTTGAATCATGGCACAGCCTCCTCTCAGAGTACAGCTGCGTCTCCCGCCCTCACGTTCCCCTCAGCAGATGCCCGTGCTCTGCAGGGAGTAGCTGCCCAGCTTACCGCACCTGCTAGCGGGGATTTTAGTACTCCCTGTCGGAGCTGGCGGTTTCCCAGGTGGCTCAATGGTAAAGGATCTGCCTGCCAATGCAGGAGACGCGGGTTCGATCCTTGGGTCAG